CGCTCCCCTCTCTGTCTCTGTCTCTCTCTGTGATGCTCCTCAAATAAACTTAAACCGCCCGCCAATATTTGCCCAGGGCGTGGCGTGGTGAGGCGCGGCGCAGGGTTATGGCGGTGCACTTGGAAGGTGCATTAGAGGTTAGACTGTAGCCTGCAACGATCCCAAACAGTACATTTATTTACGTCTCGGCGTGTGCTGGCCGTTGGTAACTATAACAATAATGGTAAGTAAACAAAATAAGATAAAAACAACTAGGCAACGCTTACAACTGGCCGAAAATGGAAAGAGAAGATGACTTCTTGTACAAACAACTCCGGTTACTGCAAGTTATCTCTTTTGCAAATGTCTTTCTGTCAGCCGTAAGGGCCTTACATCACGGCCGCGGCTCCGGCGCGACCGCACACGCACCTTTACAGAGGTCGTCGACGGGGATCCCCTCGCCGGGGTGGGAACGGCCGGGCCGGGCCGGGCCGCCGCAGCCCCGGCATAAGCACCGCCCACCGCGTTGATTTATGACGTCTCATCAATTTGTGGCACGCAGCACACGGCGCGACGCACACCGCGGGGCGGGGCGGTCGGAGCCCGACACCCCGCGACACCGCAGCCCAACTTAACAACGGTGCGCGTAATTGATGCGCGCGCGGCGCCGCTTATTCATTTGGCCCCTGGCTCGCACCTCAACGCATTATTTAAAGTTGAAAAACATAAAAAAGAGTTGAAGGTTGTAGGCGGGCAAGGTCTTTTTCTGCAAGCAATTCTGCCAAAAGTCAAAAAGAAAATATGTTTGCAAAATTGTTCTTCGCCCCCAATATGCAAAACAAAATAACAGAAATTGTAAAATTTAATATTTCTCGAAAACCTTGTCTTCGCCGAAGCGAAAGTGACGCGTGTCCGGCCTTTCGATTTCCCTGCTGCGACCTGAGCGATAGGGCGGCGGGGGCGGCAGGGTCTGCTTTTCTGCGGCACGCTGCGCGGTGGTGCCGCGCGCGTGAGACGGCCATCAGCAATTGATTCCTGCACCGCTCCACCCCGCCCCGCCCCGCCCCGCCCCACCTCGCCCCGCCGCGAGTCTCGGGGTAAAGGGTCTCGTCGTGGCCAGGTCGGGGCGGGGCGGAGCGGGGTGAGTGAGAGGGGCCACAATGGATCTCCATCTCTCTCCTCGAGAGCAGCGCCGGCGCCCGCGCCGAGCTGCAGGGGAAAGGAAAAGCCCGTCCGAGCGGCGGCCTGGGTCCTGGCAGGTGGCAGGGTCCTGGCGCGGGGTCCTGGCAGAGTCCTGGCGGGGTCCTTATCACGGAGTCGGGCGGCGAGGGCAGCGCGAGGCATTCCGCCTGGCATTCATGACGGGCAAATCGGAGTGAGGAGGGAGGGAGGGAGGGAGGGAGGGAGGGAGATTTGAAAAGTCCCAGCTTGTTGCTGACTGCCTTCCCCGCCCCCGCCTCGTCCTCCGCTCTTCAACGCCGATGTCGTGTCGCCAGTGAAAGGGGCACGAATCGAAGCAAAGGCGCGCGGTGCAGTGCCCATCATCTTACATTGTCTCATCGTTAATAAACAGCGAGAGATCGCCTGCACAACATTTGTTGCTAATGCTGAATCGTATAAATGTGCACAAGAGACGGCTGTGATATGGAGCAGTGCGCTGCAGAGCGCGGCGCGCCGCTGATAGAATCGTCATGTCCCCCGCGGCCGCTTAGCGCGCTGAATGTGTTGACCCCGCGGGGCGGCGGGCTTTGGCTTTCACTGGCCGGCCGGGCCGCAACCACCCGACCCGCTCGGGTTCAACAGGCAACAGGCGAGGCGTTCAGCGATTGGACAAGACAGGACAGCCCCAGTTAGTTGACAGAAACAAGCTCCTTGAGCCGAGCGGTGGCGGCGCGGTGCCCGGGGGGAGCAAGCGCCAAGCAGAGCAGGCGCCAGACCAACCAGAACGTAACGA